AAAAAAAAAAACTTTGTAAAATATATCTGAACCTAATGGTTTGTACAACTGGAGAATCGTTCTAGATTAGTTAACAATTAAATATAACTCCACCAGTGTAAGGGTGTGAGGTACAGTTGTCCAGGAGACGATTTTGTATAGTATTTTTCTTGTACATTACTTCCAGTAAATATTTGGAAATATATCGAAGTAAACTTGATTTTTCTTTTTTTTGTCACAAGAAAATATTGAGAGTTATTGTTGCAGTTCTGATGAGCTGCAGGTTTTCTGAACTCACTTCTGGAGGTGCAGAGCCACAAACGCACTTTCGGGGCCTCGTTTTGCTCGAATATGAATTTAGATAGGTATCAAACTGTAACTAAGACAATATTTGATAAATGTTGGATGACATTTAATTTAATGGAGCATGTACTTATTTGCATTTGCTGGCAGTTCAGGCATAGTTAAAGTGAGAGTTCTCCTATATTTCATAATAACTGGGTCTGCCAAAACCCATGTATTAAATAAATTGTCCAAGTGAAACTCGACTAACTTTGGCCTTTGTGTATTTCCTGAAGGTAATATTGTTAACTGTTAATAAACACTCCTGATACTACATTTAAGTGTTTGCAGATTCTGCAAACTAATTGTTCATTGTAATGTTGAAATAATTTGGATATTTCACATTGAAATGAAAAGCCTTTCTCTGGAACATTTTAGACTTGCATTTTAAATGCATGAAATGTAATTGATTTATTTGTAATATTTTAAATGGTATTAATAAACTCAGATAAAAGACAAAAAAAAAATAGAATAAGGACAAAATTCAAAATGACTCAACAAGGGGGAAGAGAAGAATCTAGTACACATAGATATTCAAGGAAGAAAGAAACCTGGAAAGCAGCAACACCTGAGAAAAGATGGGAGGTAAAGCACAGACAGCCAAAAAGCTGATTTGGTAGGAAATAGGACACAAACACCACTGTGCCTACAACAAAATTAGCAAAGAATCAAAGCACCACGCATAAAACCACAATGGCAAGTAAATCTTAGACTGTCTCTCTGCTTTGCTGATGCGGCTGAGGACAGAAACCTAAAATGAAGGAAAGTAGACATTAAGAACAGCAGTTTTCAAACTCAAGTATGTACCATAATCATCTGAAAATCTTGTTGTAAAAAATACAGATCCTGGGTTCCTTTGACTACCATTCTTACTCTGCTTTTAGGTATGAAGTGGATCTGTATTTTAACAAGAACCTCATGTAGTTCTAGCAAAGATCGTCCAAGAACTACAGTTTGAGAAGCGCTGATCCAGAGGTCTGAAGAACTTAGAATAAGTGTACCACGGCTAATAGCAATTAGCAATTCATTTTCAGAAGAGTTTTCATATGGGATTGTGCAAGAGATCATCTCTTGGGGAGAGATGTCACTTAGTGGGAATTAAAATAAATCAACACTCTGGAGAATGCTCTCCTGGGAACATCTGTTGGACCAACAAGTTCACCTCTCTAAACACTACTGCAGTAAATTCCCAGAGGTAACACAGAGAAGGGGAATTCTGGGTAGAGAAGCTCCAGGACAATCTCATGACCCACAAAAGCATTCCTTGAAGGCGAGAGCTTGATACTAAGATGGAGACACCCATCTATACTTACCTGTTAAAAGAAGATGCTCTAGTATCTCATTAAACCCTCACATCCTATTCTCAGACAAAATTTCACTTCTTGCCTAAGGTGACCAGATTTTAACATTGGTAAACCAGGACACCATCGATGGGGGGTGGGGCCTGACAACAATGCAAACTTTGATAAGCAGTTCTTGATAATCACTTCTCAACAATTATTTGTTATTATTACAGTTTAACATAAAATTAACAAAAATAATATAAAACTTATATCCTGGCAAAATAGCCACATGGCAGCCGAAAACTGTATATTCCCTTACTGTTCTCCCGCCTGTTTGTGCATTCTTTCCAAAAATCAGGACTTTTTTAAAACGCTGTGGGACGTGGGACAAATTTTTAAAAATCAGGACTGTCCTGCCAAAAGCGGGACATCTGGTCACCCTATTCTTGCCTTAAACATGATACAGCACAGTTGTTTAAAATCCTGTGGTCTGGCTCGACGCCTATAGCTCAACCGGCTAAGGCGCCAGCCACGTACACCTAAGGTGGCGGGTTCGAATCCCCAGCCCGGACCCGCCAAACAACAATGATGGCTGCAACCAAAAAAAAAGCCGGGCGTTGTGGCGGGCGCCTGTGGTCTCAGCTACTTGGGAGGCGGAGGCAGGAGACTCGCTTGAGCCCAGGAGTTGGAGGTTGCTGTGAGCTGTAATGCCACGGCACTCTACCAAGGGGGACAGCTTGAGGCTCTGTCTCAAAAAAAAAAAAAAAAAAAAATAAAAAAATAAAATCCTGTGGTCTTCCTTTCCACCAATGAATACCTTTAGACTAAGGGGCAACCAAGACCTGGAAAACCAGAAACCTTTCTGTAGTAGAAAGTCAGAATGGATACCGGAATCCTGTCTCTTGGTTAAGAACACTTTCCAAATGGGAACTTTCTAGTTACTTATAATTCAGCTCTCTCCTAGTGGCAAGCAGTACCTACTAAAAGTCAAAGAAGACTCACTGGAGGCCTCAAAAATAGCTCTTGTCACCAGGCATGCAGTGGCTGGCTAGTTGCCTTGACCCCTTTAGCAGAACAGCCATGGACTAATTGGATTAATTGGATTACCACATCTCTTCAGCAGAGTTCTCCAAATGCATTCCCTGAGTTGCCAGCCCCATGGGCAACAAGAGATCCCATCATCGTGGCTTCTGCTTTGAGGCTATTTGTCCCTTAGCCAGATGTTTCTGGCTACTTACAGAAAAGAACCTTTCTAGAAAGACAAGAGCCCTGGCCTACAGAAGAGGCTAGAGATATCTATTAGAGTTATTGAAACCAGACTGTCTCTTAATGATTATAAATAATTACTGCATGATTAGGCAGGGAGGGTTAGAAGAACAGCTGTTAGGTGGTAAAAAAACAGAGACCAGGTGCTTTTATCAGCCAAGTTCGCTTCTGATAAGCAAAAGAAGAATATTTAAATAAAAACTCAATTTCCATTCTCAAATATCTAGATAAGAATATAGGCTTGATTGATGAACTTCCTACAAAGTCTTCTTCCAGTGTCAAATATTTCCAGAGTGTCATGGAATTCAAGAATCAGAACTTTGTCATTGTGATATCAAGCTTTGTTTCTGCTCCCTTCAGAGGCTTGGTGAAACATGATGTTACCTATCATTGGTACTTCTAGTTACCACCCAGAAATGAAAAAAAAAAAAAAAAAGCACACTTTTTTTTTTTTTTTTTTTGAGACAGAGCCTCAAGCTATCCCCCTGGGTAGAGTGCCGTGGCATTACAGCTCACAGCAACCTCCAACTCCTGGGCTCAAGCGAGTCTCCTGCCTCCGCCTCCCAAGTAGCTGGGACCACAGGCGCCCGCCACAACGCCTGGCTATTTTTTGGTTGCAGCTGTCATTGTTGTTTGGCGGGTCCGGGCTGGGGATTCAAACCCGCCACCTTAGGTGTACGTGGCTGGCGCCTTAGCCGGTTGAGCCACAGGCGCCGAGCCAGCACACTTTGTTTTTAATCTTTTTTTTTTTTGTTTTATTATGTCACCCTCGGTAGAGTGCCATGGCGTCACAGCTCACAGCAACTTCAAACTCTTGGGCCAAAGCGATTCTTTTGCCTTAGCCTCCTGAATAGCTGGGACTATAGGCACCCGCCACAACACCTGGCTATTTTTTTTGTTGCAGTCGTCATTGTTGTTTAGCTGGCCCAGGCTGGGTTTGAACCCACCAGCCTTGGTATATGTGGCTGGTGCCCTACTCACAGAGCTATGGGCACCAACCAAAACAAACTTTTTTTGAATTCTCTTTCATTCTTTCAGTTTCTATTAAATGTCAGGTACTCAAACTTCATAAAGACAAAATAGAAATAGCTTCTGTTCTCTCAAGGAGTTTGCAGTTCAGGAAAGGAGAACAACATGGATACTTGTATCTACAGTATGCTGTGATGGTGACACAAGGAGGTAGTGATGAATTCCACTAAAAAAGGTACCACAGAAAGGAAGAGCTGAGAATAGTTGAAGATGGGGGAGAGGGCATTCCAGGTGAAGGTACCTTGGTAAGAAAGTACCTCACAGCTTGGTGCCTGTAGCTTAAGCAGCTAAGGCGCCACATACACCAGAGCTGGCAGGTTCGAATCCAGCCTGGGTCTGCTAAACAATGATAACTATAACCAAAAAATTGCTGGGTGCTGGGGCAGGCACCTGTAGTCCCAGCTACTTAGGAGGCTGAGGCAAGAGAATAGCTTAAGCTCAAGAGTTTGAGGTTGCTGTGAGCTGTGGCGCCACAGCACTCTACCTAGGGCTACAGCTTGAGGCTTTGTCTCGAAAAAAAATAAAACAATAAAAAAAATTAAAATTAAAAAATTTTAAAAAATCTACAAAACAAACAGAAAAAAAAAGAAAGTACCTCATCAAATTCAAAGAGCTTGGAAAGTAGTTCAGGGCTCGGCGCCTGTGGCTCAAGTGGCTAAGGCACCAGCCACATACACCTAAGGTGGAGGGTTCAAATCCAGCCTGGCTTGCCAAACAACAATGACAGCTGCAACCAAAAAATAGCCGCGCACTGTGGCGGGCCCCTGTGGGCCCAGCTACTTGGGAGGCTGAGGCAGGAGACTCGCTTGAGCCCAGGAATTGGGAGGTTGCTGTGAGCTGTGATGTCACAGCACTCTACCCAGGGGGACAGCTTGAGGCTGTCTCAAAAAAGAAAAAAAGAAAGTAGTTTAGTACAGATGGATAGAAGATATCTGTAGGGGACAGGGGAAGAAGAGGTTGGGGGGTAAAAACCTCAGAACTTTCCATTATTTTGTATATTCTGGGTCCTATCTCTAGCTTTTTCTTTTTTGTGAGATAGTCTCACTTTGTTGCCCTTTTTCTTTTTTGTTAGATAGTCTTGCTTGTTGCCCGTGGCATCACAGCTCAGAGCAACCTCAAATTCTTGGGCTTAAGTGATTCTCTTGCTTCAACCTCCCAAGTAACCACAACACCCGGCTATTTTGATTTATTTATTTATTTTTTGAGACAGAGCTTCAAGCTATCGCCCTGGGTAGAGTGCAGTGGCATCACAGCTCAGAGCAACCTCCAATTCCTGGGCTTAAGCAATTCTCCTGCCTCCGCCTCCCAAGCAGCTGGGACTACTACAGGCACCCACCACAAGACCTGGCTAGTTTTTGGTTGCAGCCGTCATTGTTGTTTGGCGGGCCTGAGCTGGATTCGAACCTGCCAGCTCAGGTGTATGTGGCTGGTGCCTTAGTCACTTGAGCCACAGGCGCCAAGCCTTATTTATTTTTTTTATTAAGTCATTTGTACACAGATGGTAAATACATTCATGCCACCATGGGATTCAATGTGTTGATTATCTGTACAAATTGGAGTGCTTACATCCTACTAATCAACATAGCCTTCACTTTATTTACCCAATTACAGCATTAAGACTGTGTTCTTATTTCTGTATTTGTGTTCTACAATAGATCCAACTTGTACTTGCAATATGGCCCAGCTATTTTTAGAGACAGAGTCTTGGTCTTACTCAGGCTGGTCTCGAACCTGTGAGCTTAGGCAATCCACGTGCCTCAGCCTCCCAGAGTGCTAGCGTTATAGGCGTGAGGTGCTGTGCCCAGCCCTCTTTTTTCTTTAAAAAAAAAAAGCTATGGGTTCGGTGCCTGTGGCTCAAGCAGCTGAGGCGCCAGCCACATACACCTAAGCTGGTGGGTTCAAATCCAGCCTGGGCCCACGAAACAACAGTGATGGCTGCAACCAAAAAATAGCCAGGCATTGTGGTAGGCACCTGTAGTCCCAGCTACTTGGGAGGCAGAGGCAGGAGACTTGCTTGAGCCTAGGAGTTGGAGGTTGCTGTGAGCTGTGATGCCAAGGCACTCTACCTAGAGCAACAGCCTGAGGCTCTGCCTCAAAAAAAAAAAAGAAAA